CTCTGTATTATAAGATTGTTTTTTATTATGGTTATTTTCAAAAACATTATTTGTTTCATATAAACGTGTAGCTCTCATTCTATGAGCACTCAGTAAATCTTTGAGAAGACAATCAGAATCATAATGATTTTTAACCGTTAAACTCATTGCCAGGTCTTTAGAAAAAATACCAGCTAAAACTTCTTCTTTTATTTCGTCAAATTGTAAACCCAGCTTAGTACATAAATCTAATTTTTCATGAAAATATGACATGATGGATTCAGATTTTCCGTTTTCTAGCACGCATTCTATCCCATTTTTCTGATAAACTTTCGGCCTGTTTAAAAGTTTTATTAAATAAAGTTTTAAAATCATCCCAAGAATGAATAAATGAGCTTTTACTATTAAACCAATATACAACTAGGCCTATCAAATGAGCCCTTGCAGTTTCGAGTGTAGGGGAAGATGGGGCTGAAAGTTCCGGGGGTTGATTGTTCCGATGAGTACACGTGCGAGCAGAAAAGAGATAGCGATACGTTTGAAGTACGGTACAAGTTGCCGAGTGATCGCGCACTCTCGGCTGTCCTTTTAGTTGCATTCAAGGTGGCGGTGTGTTAGGTGTGTGAATAGAGATCGTCGACTGACACGTAAGTAAATATATTTGTGATTAAACTTTTGGGTCTATTTCGATCAATTTTGAAGATAATGATTTGCAACTTGAACTAAATTGATGTAAAAATATTCAGGAATCTTATGTCATTATCGTTATTAGACTTATTTCGACTATTGAAAATAAATTTGAATGATATTCGAAAATGGAATGTGGGGTTGGTAGTTCCTTTACTTTGGGGCTAGTTGTGCCTCGGAACAACTTACCCCGATAAATAAATTATATGCAATTTTTTCAATTTCAGGATGCGTACGTATAAGAGAAAAACTGAACGAGGTAAAACTTCTGAGGAACTCCTACGCAGAGCAGCTGATGCTGTTATTAAAGATGGTAAAAAAATCAAAACAGTTGCAAGAGAAGTCGAAATCTGCCACATGACATTATTTCGATTTATCAAAAAGTTGAGAGCCGGTGAGGTGCCTTCAGTGGGTTACAAACCTAGACTGGTGTTTACTCGGGAGCATGAACAGATAATGGCAGATTATCTTCTAAAATGTGCCTCAATCTACTTCGGTCTCTTGCCAGACGAAGTGCGAAAGTTAGCTTATGATTGTGCCATAAAATTTAGCATGCCACATATTCCAGCTCCATGGCATAAAAACCATAAAGCAGGAGCTGATTGGTTCACCGGTTTATTGAAAAGGAACCCATCACTGGCTATAAGAACTCCCGAAGCAACAAGTGCAGGCCGCGCATCTTCGTTCAATAGGAACAATGTGAACGAGTTTTTTACGAAACTTGGTGACATTCTTCTCAGATATAGTTTACCCCCCTCTAGAATTTGGAACTTAGATGAGACAGGGGTAACGACGGTGTTGAAGCCCAATAAAATTGTAGCCCAGAAAGGTATGAAGCAAGTGGGTGCTATTGTTTCTGCAGAGCGCGGTACCTTGGTTACCGTCGAATTAGCAGCCAATGCAGCGGGTAACACGATACCGCCGATGTTTATTTTTCCGCGGTTGAAATACAAAGAACTATTTCTACGTGATGGTCCTCCTGAGTCAATTGGGGCAGGAAATAGCTCAGGGTGGATGACTGCTACTGAATTTCTTCTTTATATGGATCACTTCATAAAATATACCAAACCAACCCCAGAGGAACCCGTGTTGTTGCTGTTGGATAACCATCAATCTCATATCGACATTGGTGTGGTCGAAAAAGCAAAAGCTAGTTCAGTTATCATGTTATCATTTCCTCCACATTGTACACATCGTCTTTAGCCACTTGATGTTGGTGTAAATGGGCCGTTGAAGACATACTGTGCCAAAGCTCAAGACAACTGGCTCCGGAACAATCCAGGAAAGACGATGTCTATATATGAATTACCAGGAATTCTGAAATATGCTTGGCCTTTAGCAGCAACTCCTACCAATATCATAAACTCATTTAAGAAGGCAGGAGTATGCCCCTTCGACCCTAACATATTCACGGACGAAGACTTCGCCCCATCTTTTGTGACGGATAGGCCAATGCCTAATGCTGACTTTCATCAGGAAACAGAGCTGAATGATCAGCCTGGGACCTCTAATATTGAAAATTCACAACACATTGTGCGACAGTCCGTATCGTTTCCAGAACCATCTAATAACAAGTTATCGATGGAACCAGAACCCCAAACAATACCAACAACAGTAGATGATGTAACATTTTCTCCAGAATTAGTCAAGCCGTTCCCGAAAGCACCACCAAGATTGTCGACTACTTCTAGGCGACGCAAAAGAAAAACGGCTGTTCTTACACACACCCGAGAAAAATGCATTGGCAGAAGAACAGGCTAATAAGAAAAGAAAAAGAGATGAAGATCAGAATAAGGAAAACAAAGGAAACGGAACTGGAAAAGGCAAGGGAAAAAGCTCAGGAAAAGGCAGAATACAGGAAAAACGGAAAAGCGAAGTGAAAAGGCGAGTTCTTCAAGAAAGCGATGAAAGTGATAATGAAAAAGATGATTTAGAATGGTATTGTTTAATTTGCTACGATTCCTATTCAAATTCGAAACCCAGAGAGAAGTGGATTGAATGTATTATGTGCAAAAATTGGGCTCACTTAAATTGCTTAGAAAGAGATGACGTTGAAGTTTATATTTGCCCCAATTGCAATTCAGATGATGAGAATGATGAATAATCATGTTTTTTTGTGGTATTATTAGTATATAGGATTTTTTTAACGATTGCTTTTGTGTTTTGTTTTATTTCTGAAGTTGAGAAATAATAAATGATTTCGAAAAACCAGTTGTCTTTTTCATTAATTATACGTTATTCGAACAAAAAGTAATACAAATGTGAGGGGAACAATCTGCCTCTATGACGGAACAACCAGCCCCTCGACGGGGCAGGTTGTGCCGCACCGAGTTGTCGAGATAAAATTGTTCTGTAAGATGAGCTATTAATAATTCCCCACAAGTTATTATATAGTCTGATACTATGATAATGTATGTTTTATTACTGCTAAAGTTACAGAGATTGCACATCGTTTCAAAATATTTTTTACTAGTTCAATGAAAATCGGAACTTTCAACCCCGTCCTCCCCTATAATTTTCCGGCCACCTATTTAATCTAGAGCTTGTTTCTACATTAGTAAGCCACTGAGACACTCGAGGCACGTCTTTATCTCCATCAAAGTAACCTATTACCTGCGATACATCAGATAATACATGAAAAGCGCTTTGTTTATTTGCCTGACTGGCTGAATTTTGAATATCACTAGGCTGGGGGGTAATTCTCTGAAACATTTGCATCATTACATCATCTCTGCGTTTATTCTCACTTATCATCAAATCCATCATGCCAGTTAAATAAAAATCATTGTTATTGTTATTAACTTGTGTATTTCCTGAGCAAACATTAGAAAAATTGTTACCCTCAAAGCTGTTATCACCTGAACTATTTTTTTCGGACATCTTGTTTCTTGGGTTTCACACAGCACACAGTAATAGAAGAAAAAATATTTGTCAAAAGTTCTGCAATTACCGAAGTTTTTATTTTAAGAGTTAGTTTCACTCAGTTAATTATTTAAACACACCGTAAGTACCTATTGTTTGTCAAACAGTTTTTATGCCGACACCCGACGCTAATAATAACACACAGTTCTTGTAAGTTTTTAACACGAAATTTATGTATTGGCATTCACATCCCACTTCTGAAATGTTAAGTTTATTATTTGATTATCGAAATTAGATCACTCAGACTTATTTTCAATTATATTTAAACACGATAATTTAATTAAACTGATTTTATTGACAGAATACAACCGGCGATTGCCGCTTATGGTCAACTCATCCTACTCCTTACTCAGCATGTCTGGACCAAAACATTCATAGCGTTCGTTGGTCAGTGGCGCGGCGCGTAAATTTAAAAATATAAATTAAGAGCTAACAACTGGAATACCTATATCTCTCCACCTCTCCACCAAAAACCAAGGTCAAATTTCACAATGTTTTCATGCTAAATTGTTGTTTATAGAATACTTTTTAAATATGGAGTAAAATACCAGAAGGACATATTTTTCAATTTTCTGCACAGAAGTTTCTTTTTAAAGTTTTGAAAAAAGGTAAAACATCAACAAATCATAAAAGCCATGAAATAAATACTTACTCTCAAATTAGCTCGTTTATACTTCACTCACATAAACCTCGTCTATACTCGGTCGCATCTATTTGTTTATTAAATTGAAAATTTTGATAACCGCTACCGACAAGAAAAAGACACTGTGTCCGAGTTCTCCACTACTGTCCGAATTCACCCAAGATGACTTTTATTTTTGTTTTTAAAATTTACTGAAATGATACCCATTTACGCTTTGTTTTCTTTTTAACTTATTGATTGTTATATATTATCGCATTCTTTGAAATCCTACCGTTTCAAGGTGGGGGGGCATGTTCGAATTCCTAATATTTAAAAACATGTGTTTATTTTAAATGTACTACTTGACCACCCTAATGTTGTGCGGACCTTTCTCGAAAAGGTTTAATGAGCTTGGATATGAGCAGTCGTTTATTTGTAATATAGTCAGTCAAGATTTAGATAATGTAAAAGTAACACAAACAATAAAGTCATATTTTCAATACTCTTTTATTATCTTGAACTCGCCCTAAATATAAGAAAACGGAGTCAAATCCCTAACAATTAGGTAACTTTATTTTTTGTTCAAAAAATCGTCGATTACAATGTTGAATATACAAAGTACATATAAAAAATATATATCACATTTGACGAGACGCTCAAGCGAGTTGCAACGGCCCTAAACAGAAATGTACCACAAATAATGCGGCAATTACCTTTTTTCCGTTGGTTGTCTAAAATTGCTTTAAAATGACCCTTACAGTTTTAAAATTAATCTCTATTATAATTTTAGGTGAGCCTATGTCGACGACGAGCGCTTTTCAATGTTTTAGATCATTAATGAGGATTGAACAAGATGAAGAAAATTTTGATTTCCTACCTGAGGTAGGTATTTTTTTAAACTCAATTCCGAGATATAAACTATCTCGACTTCTGCGTTAGGCGGGATCAGATAGGGGAAAGTGTTCCACAATGAGACATTCGCCATAACTTTTTGAACTTCCCGCCTATTTAGTTTAAAAAATATGGCCGACGAACATATTCAATTTTGCATTTGCTCCACCAATTTTTACGAAATTTAGAAAATTCTAAGCGTATTTAGTGACTTACATAGCTCAAATTGAAATAAGTTTTTCTTTATAGTCGATATTTCAATTGGTGATTAAATAAAATCCGGCGGTTTTTTGATAAATCTGAAATTCAGAAATTGTTTGGGGGCAATTCTAGGTTAGGATTTTGTATAAACTAGAGATGTTCAAAACGATCGAAAAATGTTTGCCAACTTTTTAAAATAATATCGAAAAAGTTCCACAATGAGACAGTTGGTTTTGTTCCACAATGAGATGGTGCCTCATTGTGGAACAAAATTTTTCAACGTGTATCTAATGTTTTTCATCTTATTTCCATGTTAGGATCAAAACTATGGCTCGTGGAAGACAAAGAAAATTGGAAAAAGGTTCTTTCACAGAGGACCAAATGAAGGCAGCTGTGCATATGGTTCTTGAGGAAAAATTAAGTTTTAGACAAGCATCTGAAAGGACAGGCATTAAATTTCAAACGCTTCATCGCTACGTCGGCAGATTTTTACCTCAGAACAAGAGACACTTATTGTGGAATACGCCATAACTTGTTCGAAAATGTGCTACGACAAAACTAGGAAAGATTTGCGAATACTTGCTTTCAAAGTAGCCGACGCAAATAAATTTAACATTCCTGAAAAATGGAAAATTAATAAACAGGCAGGGATGTAATGGTTATTAGGTTTTATGTCACGGAACCCTGAGTTGAGTGTAAGACAACCAGAACGCTGTAACCTTTCCAGAGCTAGTTCATTTAATAAGCATAATGTAGGCCAATTTTTTGCCAATTTGGAATCGATCTATCAGTGTTCAAAGCATTTTGCAGATGGGACTCGCATCTAAAACCTGGACGAAACCGCAACCACTACTGTTCAGAAACCACATAAAGTTGTAACAAAGAAGGGAATTAAACAAGTTAGCTCAGCAACTAGCGGTGAAAGCAGAATATTAGTAACCACCTGCTGCACTGTGAACGCAACTGGAAGCTTTATTTCACCAGTTATGGTTTTCCCAAGAAAGAAATTTAGCGCTCCTCCCGGTACCTTAGGCCTTGCACAACCATCAGAATGGATGAAAGTGGATTTATTTATAGAAGTCACTTTATACATCATACCTCGAGTAGTGTAGACAATCACACACTATTAATTATGGATAACCGTGAAAGCCATTTATCGGCTTATGTTCGCTTGACCTAGCAAAGAAAAATGGAGTTATTATCTTGACATTGCCATCGCACACCTCTCGCAAATTGCAGCCTTTAGATCTTTCGGTTTTTTTCCTATTCAAATCCCAACATAATGCTGCAGTTGAATCGTGGATGCTAAGGAATCCGATCTCAATTTATGAAATAGTCGAATGTGTTGGTGTTGCATTTGAAAAATCTATAACCCCTAAAAATATAACAGCAGGTTTCAAAAACTCAGGTATTTTTCCCTTTGACAAAAACATTTTCACGGACGACGATTATATTGCTAGCAGTGTCACTGACCGATGCCAGCCAGCTGATTAAATTGCTGGTCCATCTGATCATCACATTACTGGGGATTGTGGAGACGAAACATTTGAAACCCATACGGCTGATATCAGGATTGCAATGGCACAACAATTGAAACCTCTAAGACTGATATGCAAGAATCTGAACTCACCAAAGGAACTAATATTATTGAAAAATTTATGCCGGCAGTATTGAAAGGCTATCCGAAAGCATCAGAATTAAAACAAAAGAACAGGGCTAGAAAAAAGAAAAGTATCAGCTACAGACACGCCAGAACGTAATGAAATAAAAGCAAAATCCAAGGAGAAAGTCAGGCAGGCTGAATTAAAAATGAGAAAAAAGGAAAAATTAAATGAGGTCAAGACCAGAGTGTTTAAAGAATCTTCTAGTGAAGAGTCTGATAGGGAATTCTATCAGGAAGATACTAGGGGCTCCTCTGAAGATACTAGTTATATTGAAGATGCCTTGGATAAAGATAACTTTCTTGCACTGGAGCGACAACCAATCGCTGGGGACTACGTTTTAGTTCAATTTGATGAATTATCTTTTATGTCGGAAAAACTTTAAATAAAAAAGAAGATGAATTTGAAATTTCATTTCTTCGTAAAAGTAACAAGTCTAATAATTTTTTCCACCCCGTAACAGAAGATATAAGTACGATCGAAGAAAAAAACATCAAAATAATACTTTACAAATATTTAACGACTGGGAAAACTAAGAGGCACCGGCTCTAATACGTTTTGAACTAAACTTCAACTCATTAAATGTGCGCTAATATTTTGAAGGATTTTATTTTATTTTTTACTTGTTGGATTTATATTTTATGTTGTCCTATCTAGCAAAATAAGTTTCTTGGATACTGTTTTTTTCAAAAGAATGTTCATTTTCCTTTATTATATATTTTTTTTCATATTTTTTTGTATTGGTTTTTGGTCTAAAAAGTTCTGTCTCATAGTGGAACATACTTGTTCCACAATGAGACAAAAATCACGATTTAAAAAATCCCTATTTATTTTCTAAATCGATTTATTGATAAACTTATTGCGTTAAATGACGAGGGATATCTCAATCTATGTGCATGAAACAACAAAATTACAAAATTCAATCATAACCTCTTACAACTTACCGAAACGTAATTTATGTCTCATTGTGGAACACTTTTCCCTATGTATTTTTTTACTCGACTTTGTCTTGTTATTATATTTAACCTCTTATGAATGAATATTTTTTTTGTATACGCTCTATTCCGCGAATAGACATACATTTGAAAATTGCATCATTAGCCCCTCATATATACCTACCTACCAACCACTCACTATTCACAAGAAATCAATTACCGGCAATCATAGGTGATGACCGTCCATGTCAATGAGACGATGACTATAGAGAGACCCCCGCAAGTGTGCCTCACAGTTCGACTTTTTTACTCTTGCTTGTGAGTTCCAAGACTTCCAGGTTAACTTGTTGTCAAAGGCGAGACCTATAGTTATTTCACCTATTTATTTAGATGCTACTGAAGAAATTATTATCGGACAAGAAAATAATTTGTGAAGTCAATAAAAAACTTCTATTTGTTATTTATCTAACTCTTGTCCTGTAAATGGGTTCAGCCCTGTGTCAAGGACGATTTCGAAAAAACTGGGTTATTAATAGCTTTATTGTCCAACAGTTACCAATTTATAGGACAATTATAAAATTAACAAAAATACTATAAATTCATATCAAAAATAATAATAAATATACATACAAAATAAATTAGTTATAACTTACTACTAGAAAGAAGTAAAGTAAAATTTTTAAATAATTATAGATTAAATAAATTAACTAAATAAAGAAAATTATAATAATGAAAAGAATAACAATAATAGGAAAACAATAATAAGAAAATAATAAAACACCAGAAATAAAACTTCTCGAAACAATATATTCAAATAACTAGGTGAATGTTTGCTATTTTCAATAAATTTTTTAATTTGTATTGAAAATATCGGTGTAATGAGTAATATAGTTGTATATTTGGAGCATGACATAAATAGGTGACTTAAGCATTACATTTTGTTCGTGCCTGTGGTTGTCTAAATGTAAGCGTATTACAAGGAGGATAAGGTGGTACATAAAAAAATTGAATTGCTTGAGAATCTCACTACAGTCAACTGTATTGTGTAATAATTTATATTAAAAAGTAAGAGAAGTGAAATTTCTTTTTAATTATAGTGATAAAAAGTCTACACGAAATAACATAATTGGGTATTACTAATACCTCTTTCAGGATATATTCCATCAATATGGAAGATCAGATATTTTTATAATTTACGCTGAACTCTTTCGATGGCTTGAATATTTATACCGTAACAAGAAGCCCAAACTATACTTACATATTCAATTTTTATTCTGACGTAAGAATAATACAATAATTTTAATTGTTTTTATATTTGTTAAATTCTGCAATACATAAACCCGTAAGTGGGCTTTCACACCAAAGTAGCATGCAACGTGCGACTTGCTGCCAGGAAGCATGCTGCTTGTTTTAAAACCTACGCAAATAAATTAATGGTTTCACACCGGAGTCACGTCGCAAAAATGCGACGTGGCAATATGCGACGTGCGACTCTAATATAAAACATGTCGTATAATTCGCTACTTTGCCACGTGTTCCAACCCGCGCAGACGTTGTTTCACTTGTTTAGTAGCCAAGTTAATAAATTAATATTTAAGTCCTTTCGCGATGTCTAGAAAAAAAGATGTAGAAACATTACCGGACGATGAACAATTTAATATAGACTTTGTTCAGACTGTCGAGAAGTACCCGTGTCTTTATGATCATACTTTAAAGGCGTAGAGCAATAGAAGTTAACAAGATAAGCTGGATCCAAGTTGCTGGGACATATTTTTCTACATGTGAGTTTGTTATTTTTATTTAAATAGGTTCGGCACTCAAGAAAATTTTTATGTCTTGTCGACCGGTAACGACTAGCCAATAAACAGCCGGAGAAATATCGATTTACAGGCTTTGCTAGATGGCTGTCAAAAAAAGTACAGTATAGATGATGATGACAAGAGTCAAGATTTACCGGTCCTGAAGAACACCCTACTGATCATCATCCGGAAGCAGATTTACTGAATACTAATTTCTCAAGGACACCGTTATGTACACCGTCACGTACATCGTCATGTACACCGTCACGTACACTGTCACGTACACCGTCACGTACACCGAGTAGATCCTCAACAAAAAGGAAGACTCCGCCAAAAACTTTAGTGAAAAGAATGGAGCATGCTGTCGTCAATTACCTTTCTCAAAAAGTGCGCCA